ACAACCCTGTGATAGCTCTAAGTGTAGTCTGGTTAGTTCTACTACAGAATGGCAACCCTGTGATAGCTGTAAGGGTAGTCTGGTTAGATCTACTACAGAATGACAACGGTGTGATAGCTCTAAGTGTAGTCTGGTTAGATCTACTACTGAATGGCAACCCTGGGATAGCTGTAATCGTAGTCTGGTTAGATCTACTTCAGAATGGCAACACTCTGATAGCTGTATGTGTAGTCTGGTTAGTTCCACTACAGAATGGTAACCCTGTGATAGCTGTAATTGTAATCTGGTTAGATCTACTACAGAATGGCAACCCTGTGATAGCTGTAATCGTACTCTGGTTAGATCTACTTCAGAATGGCAACTCTCTGATAGCTGTATGTGTAGTCTGGTTAGATCTACTATAGAATGGCAACCCTGTGATAGCTGTAAGTGTAGTCTGGTTAGTTCTACTACTGAATGGCAACCCTGTGATATCTGTAAGTGTAGTCTGGTAAGATCTACTACAGAATGACAACCCTGTGATAGCTGTAAGTGTAGTCTGGTTAGATATACTACAGAATGGCAACCCTGTGACAGCCTTAATTCTAGTCTGGTAAGATCTACTACTGAATGGCCACCTTGTGATAGCTGTAAGTGTAGTCTGGTTAGGTCTACTACTGAATGGCAACCCTGTGATATCTGTAATCGTAGTCTGGTTAGTTCTACTACAGAATGGCAACCCTGTGATATCTGTAAGTGTATTCTGGTAAGATCTACTACAGAATGACAACCTCTTCTACAGAATGGCAACCCTGTGATAGCTGGAAGTGTAGTCTGGTTAGTTCTACTACTGAATGACAACCCTGTGATATCTGTAAGTGTAGTCTGGTAATATCTACTACAGAATGACAACCCTGTGATAGCTGTAAGTGTAGTCTGGTAAGATCTACTACAGAATGGCAACCCTGTTATATCTGTATGTGTTCTGGTTAGATCTACTACAGAATGGCAACCCCGTGATAGCTGTAAGTGTTGTCTGGTTAGTTCTACTACCGAATGGCAACCCTGTGATAGCTGTAAGTCTAATCTGGTTAGTTCTACTACAGAATGGCAACCCTGTGATAACTGTAAGTGTAGTCTGGTTAGATCTACTATAGAATGGCAACCCTGTGATAGCTGTAATCGTAGTCTGGTTAGATCTACTTCAGAATGGCAACACTCTGATAGCTGTATGTGTAGTCTGGTTAGTTCTACTACAGAATGGCAACCCTGTGATAGCCTTAATTCTAGTCTGGCAAGATCTACTACTGAATGGCCACCTTGTGATAGCTGTAAGTGTAGTCTGGTTAGATTTACTACAGAATGGCAACCCTGTGATAGCTTTAAGTGTAGTCTGGTTAGTTCTACTACAGAATGTCAACCCTGTGATAGCTGTAAGTGTAGTCTGCTTAGATCTACTACAGAATGGCAACCATGTGATAGCTGTATGTGTTCTGGTTAGATCTACTACAGAATGGCAGCCCTGTGATAGCTGTAAGTGTAGTCTGGTTAGTGCTACTACTGAATGGCAACCCTGTGATAGCTGTAATTCTAGTCTGGTTAGATCTACTACAGAATGGCAACCCCGTGATAGCTGTAAGTGTAGTCTGGTTAGATCTACTACAGAATGGCAACCCTGTGATAGCCTTAATTCTAGTCTGGTTAGATCTACCACAGAATGGCAACCCAATTTAATTAAAATTATATCTTTGCATAGCTCCCATTTACTGATATGTGGCATGGAATATCTAACAACGTCCTGTTAAGGGTCAGGTTCAGGGGACCTCTGCATTACCCAATCAGATGAGAGCTTAAACTTTTCTGTAAGTGATGATGTAATGATATCAGATCACACTGGCCACACTAAAGGTCAGATAAGTGTCAAATGAGCATAAAAATTGGCGGCGCCCATGGCACCGTGCCATGTCTATCTACAAGATAACGTTTGTGTAATTTGTGGATTTTGCTTTGAAATCAAAGAGACGACCTTCTCTGGTGATGTTGCTATTAAAAATTTTAACCTAAAACTGAAGTTAACTGATGATCGGCTTAACAATATCTGAAAAATTGGTAGAACATTTTGCAGTATGTCGCATAGGGAAGTTTCCATCTTTAGAGCTGAACTGAAACAGGTAAGAGAGTGCTTTCGCATTGGTTGAAAGAGTTGTCTTGCCTTGTGATTGGCTTGGTAAAAATACAATAATGCATTCAAGGTGACCTCTGACGTGACCCTTTATATGGGATGATGTTAGATCTTCCACGCAACATCAATAAACAGGAATGATGCAAAGATCCAATTTTAATCAGATTGAATTACAACCCTGAGATAGCTAGTTAAATCTTCAGCAGAATTAAAACCTTGAGGTAGCTGTAGTTCTAGTCTAGTTAAATCTTCAGCAGAATTACAATCCTGAGATAGCTGTAGTTCTAGTCTAGCTAAATCTTCAGCAGAATTACACCCCTCAGATAGCTGCAGTTCTAGTCTAGTTAAATCTTCAGCAGAATAACAACCCTGAGATAGCTGTAGTTCTAGACTAGTTAAAACTTCGGCAGAATTACAACTTTGACTTAGCTGTAGTTCTAGTCTAGTTAAATCTGCAGCAGAATTACAACCCTGAGATAGCTGTAGTTGTAGTCTAGTTAAATCTTCGGCAGAATTACAACTTTGACTTAGCTGTAGTTCCAGTCTAGTTAAATCTTCAGCAGAATTACAACCTTGACTTAGCTGTAGTTCTAGCCTAGTTAAATCTTCAGCAGAATTACAACCTTGAGATAGCTCTAGTTCTAGTGTAGTTAAATCTTCAGCAGAATTACAACTTTGACTTAGCTGTAGTTCTAGTTTAGTTAAATCTTCAGCAGAATTACAACCTTGAGATAGCTCTAGTTCTAGTGTAGTTAAATCTTCAGCAGAATTACAACTTTGACTTAGCTGTAGTTCTAGTCTAGTTAAATCTTCGGCAGAATTACATCTTTGACTTAGCTGTAGTTCTAGTCTAGTTAAATCTGCAGCAGAATTACAACCCTGAGATAGCTGTAGTTCTAGACTAGTTAAAACTTCGGCAGAATTACAACTTTGACTTAGCTGTAGTTCCAGTCTAGTTAAATCTTCAGCAGAATTACAAACCTGAGATAGCTGTAGTTCTAGTCTAGTAAAATCTTCGGCAGAATTACAACTTTGACTTAGCTGTAGTTCTAGTCTAGTTAAATCTTCGGCAGAATTACAACTTTGACTTAGCTGTAGTTCCAGTCTAGTTAAATCTTCAGCAGAATTACAAACCTGAGATAGCTGTAGTTCTAGTCTAGCTAAATCTTCAGCAGAATTACACCCCTCAGATAGCTGCAGTTCTAGTCTAGTTAAATCTTCGGCAGAATTACAACTTTGACTTAGCTGAAGTTCTAGTCTAGTTAAATCTTCAGCATAATTACAACCTTGACTTAGCTGTAGTTCTAGCCTAGTTAAATCTTCAGCAGAATTACAACCTTGAGATAGCTGTAGTTCTAGTGTAGTTAAATCTTCAGCAGAATTACAACTTTGACTTAGCTGTAGTTCCAGTCTAGTTAAATCTTCAGCAGAATTACAACTTTGACTTAGCTGTAGTTCTAGTCTAGTTAAATCTGCAGCAGAATTACAACCTTGACTTAGCTTTAGTTTTAGTCTAGTTAAATCTTCAGCAGAATAACAACCTTGACTTAGCTGTTGTTCTAGTCTAGGATAATCTTCAGCAGAATTACAACCCTGAGAGAGCTGCAGTTCTAGTCTAGTTAAATCTTCGGCAGAATTACAACTTTGACTTAGCTGAAGTTCTAGTCTAGTTAAATCTTCAGCAGAATTACAATCCTGAGATAGCTGTAGTTCTAGTCTAGCTAAATCTTCAGCAGAATAACAACCCTGAGATAGCTGCAGTTCTAGTCTAGTTAAATCTTCAGCAGAATAACAACCCTGAGATAGCTGTAGTTCTAGTCTAGTTAAATCTTCAGCAGAATAACAACCTTGACTTAGCTGTTGTTCTAGTCTAGTATAATCTTCAGCAGAATTACAACCCTGAGATAGCTGTAGTTCTAGTCTAGTTAAATCTTCGGCAGAATTACAACTTTGACTTAGCTGTAGTTCTAGTCTAGTTAAATCTTCAGCAGAATTACAACCTTGACTTAGCTGTTGTTCTAGTCTAGTTAAAATTTCAGTAGAATTACAACCCTGAGATAGCTGTAGTTCTAGCCTAGTTAAATCTTCAGTAGAATTACAACCTTGAGTTAGCTGTAGTTCTAGTCTAGTTAAATCTTCAGCAGAATTACAAACCTGAGATAGCTGTAGTTCTAGTCTAGTTAAATCTGCATCAGAATAGTAGAATTACAACCCTGAGATAGCTGTAGTTCTAGTCTAGTTTAATCTTCATCAGAACTACAACCCTGAGATAGCTGTAGTTCTAGTCTAGTTCAATCTTCATCAGAATTACAACCCTGAGATAGCTTTAGTTCTAGTTTAGTTAAATCTGCATCAGAATTACAACCCTGAGATAGCTGTAGTTCTAGCCAAGTTAAATCTTCAGCAGAATTACAAACCTGAGATAGCTGTAGTTCTAGTCTAGTTAAATCTGCATCAGAATAGTAGAATTACAACCCTGAGATAGCTGTAGTTCTAGTCTAGTTAAATCTGCATCAGAATTACAACCCTGAGATAGCTCTAGTTCTAGCCTAGTTAAATCTTCAGCAGAATTACAAACCTGAGATAGCTGTAGTTCTAGTCTAGTTAAATCTGCATCAGAATTACAACCCTGAGATAGCTGTAGTTCTAGCCAAGTTAAATCTTCAGCAGAATTACAAACCTGAGATAGCTGTAGTTCTAGTCTAGTTAAATCTGCATCAGAATTACAACCCTGAGATAGCTGTAGTTCTAGTCTACTTTAATCTTCATCAGAATTACAACCCTGAGATAGCTGTAGTTCTAGCCTAGTTCAATCTTCAGCAGAATTACAAACCTGAGATAGCTGTAGTTCTAGTCTAGTTAAATCTGCATCAGAATTACAACCCTGAGATAGCTGTAGTTCTAGTGTAGTTAAATCTTCATCAGAATTACAACCCTGAGATAGCTTTAGTTCTAGTTTAGTTAAATCTGCATCAGAATTACAACCCTGAGATAGCTGTAGTTCTAGCCTAGTTAAATCTTCAGTAGAATTACAACCTTGAGTTAGCTGTAGTTCTAGCCTAGTTAAATCTTCAGCGGAATTACAACCCTGAGATAGCTGTAGTTCTAGCCTAGTTCAATCTTCAGCAGAATTACAAACCTGAGATAGCTGTAGTTCTAGTCTAGTTAAATCTGCATCAGAATAGTAGAATTACAACCCTGAGATAGCTGTAGTTCTAGCCTAGTTAAATCTTCAGTAGAATTACAACCTTGAGTTAGCTGTAGTTCTAGCCTAGTTAAATCTTCAGCGGAATTACAACCCTGAGATAGCTGTAGTTCTAGCCAAGTTAAATCTTCAGCAGAATTACAAACCTGAGATAGCTGTAGTTCTAGTCTAGTTAAATCTTCATCAGAATTACAACCCTGAGATAGCTGTAGTTCTAGCCAAGTTAAATCTTCAGCAGAATTACAAACCTGAGATAGCTGTAGTTCTAGTCTAGTTAAATCTGCATCAGAATTACAACCCTGAGATAGCTGTAGTTCTAGTCTACTTTAATCTTCATCAGAATTACAACCCTGAGATAGCTTTAGTTCTAGTTTAGTTAAATCTGCATCAGAATTACAACCCTGAGATAGCTGTAGTTCTAGCCTAGTTAAATCTTCAGCGGAATTACAACCCTGAGATAGCTGTAGTTCTAGCCTAGTTAAATCTTCAGCAGAATTACAACCCTGACTTAGCTGTAGTTCTAGTCTAGTTAAATCTCCAGCAGAATTACAACCCTGAGATAGCTGTAGTTCTAGTGTAGTTAAATCTTCATCAGAATTACAACCCTGAGATAGCTGTAGTTCTAGCCTAGTTAAATCTTCAGCAGAATTACAACCCTGAGATAGCTGTAGTTCTAGTCTAGTTTAATCTTCATCAGAATTACAACCCTGAGATAGCTGTAGTTCTAGTCTAGTTAAATCTGCATCAGAATTACAACCCTGAGATAGCTGTAGTTCTAGCCTTAATTAAATCTTTAGAAGAATAAATACTCCACGATAGCAGTAATTCTTGTCTTAGGTAAAGCCTGACAGATCTTCAAATGTTAAAACATAGTTATACCGGCCTTAAATATCTTTGTAAAGGCTTGCCTGAAGGAACAACACACCTACTGCTAGGTCTAAGCCTGTATCATACAAAAACATATCTGGTTCAACTAGTCCAACCACTTGGAATGTGATCAATGGAAGTGGCTTAGATTTTGTATTTCCTGTGTACTGTATATTGCTATATTCCGTCTTTGCGTATTGCAGAGTTATCTTCACTTGGTAGCAGGTATTGATTGTTACGTCACTTGTTTGTGAGAGTAACGTAATCGATTTTTGAGAAAACGACGTAATTTTCTCACACAGGCCAATAACAATCAATACCTGCTCCCAAGAGAAGATAACTCTGCAATACGCAAAGACGGAATAGAAATCTTCATATCACAAGACCAGAATGCCTTGCTGGTATTGCTCAGCAGCCGATATTGGGCACAGACCTAGAGGAATCCATAGTCTACATCTACCTGTTTTCATAAGTTTAGTAGGAGGATTATAAAATAGTTGTTACTCCCAGACTGTGCATCGTTTCATGTAATATACTAATTGTACCTCAAACAATGGAATCACACTACTTAAACATGAATGATTTAAATTATAGGGACAACTGAAAGAGAAGAAAGGAAGATGGAAGTTTTTGAAACGTTGGAAGACCAGATACTTTACATTGTCAGGGGCACAGATCACTTACAACAAGAGTCACTCTGTAAGTATCTATCGACTGTGGACCTTGTTAACTCATTCACCCCTGAAATTTCATAATGAACTATATATATTCCAACCTTTGAATTGGAAGAGTTCAAATGTGTCTTCAGGGGTAAATGAGATAACACATGCCACTGCTTATTGACACTGTAATGTAATAAAAAAAAAAAATTGACACAAAGCAGACCTGATTGCATGAAGACCTATAACAAGCCCAGGCCTCCTGTCGGGTTTGAAATAAGACAGACATATATATAGGATAACATTTATGTGTAAAGATATAGTGTTAAATATCCATATACACCATATCTAGTACGTCGTATACACTAGGGGACATCCGGAAAAAACCCGGACACTTTTAAAATGATGACTGCTAAAACAAGCTCCTTGGTACAGTTAATCAACATGCTGTGTGCGAACTATCATAGATATCATCTACGAACATATTCGTCAGAATGAAGGTCCCTTTCTGTTGCTATTTTTAGTTATGCTTTTGTTTGGTCGGTAAAATGAACACTAAAATATAAACCAAAATACGGAATTTATAGAAATCGGTTGTGATACGGACATGTGTCGGGTAATTACAGACACGCTACTCTTATTATGCATTCACCCAATAAAACCATAGAAACGGGTCAAAATGTTTGGCCAGGGATTGCTGATTGCTTTATGTTCTGCTCAAGGGTTCATGTTCTTATCCTGTCGGCATACAACATACAGAGCAGTTTGTAATTTATAACTAACCCCCCCCCCCCCCCCCCCCCCCCCCCCCCCCCCCCCNTTTGTGATATTGGCGAGTCCAAAATGTAGTTAACAAAATGTAGTTAAACACAATCTATTAAGGTGTATAATTGTGTTTATTCTGATACCAGATGTTTGCTTGTAAAAAGAAATCAACGTAAAAGCCTCATTTTGATTTTTTGATTTAACTGGAGTCAAAACAATCTCAGTAAGAGCCATCCAAATATTAATTGATCAATTAATAACTGTCCGTATTTACTCGCCTAATAAAAAGCTGGGGGTAATTACGGACGCCTCAGACACAAATGTTCTTTCTCAAATTTTCTTATTCATAAATTACTGCAATTTTAAAAATATAAGTAACAACATTAAGAGTAGAATATAAAGGATATATATTTGGTTTTTGTGAAGATAATTGTAACATAACTGTTGTCTCGAATCGTGGCTTATCTTTCGGACATCGCTTCCGAAAATCAAGTTTTCGGACATGTCGCAAGGTGCTAGCTATAGCATGACAACGAATATTATTAGACAAGCCATTGCTATTTTTAGACTTTGGGATATGCTGGTTACTGTCCGCCAATAAAGACATACATCGATACCAGTAGAACGATCTACGTCGAGCCTGAACAGAGTATTATTTAATCATATGTTATGGATTATGTCTGATTCATATAAGAACTGTCCATATTTGCCCGCCTGTCCGTATTTACCCGGATGGCCCTTAGCTACAGTATACTGCACAGCAGTTTCAGTTGCTAATATGAACTATTATGTCTTTTAATTATATAAACATGCTGATATCTCCACACGAAACATGTACTAACATACATGTATAGTGTATGTCTTGCATACTTACACTGCCTGATGTAACAGAACCTTGTTAACCCTTTTGACACTGTGGACTGTAGAATATTGACTACCTTGGTTTTGTTTCCTATTGTAGAGAAAAGAAACACTTCCAGTCAGCAAGATTCAGAGTGTTAAAGCTGTTCGTAAGGGTGTCAGAGACATTCCAAAAGCCTTCGAGATATTCACGGGCGATCAAACCTATATGTTCAAGGCCAAAGGACAACAGAACATAGAACAATGGGTTCAGTGTCTACACATCGCAGTGGCACGAGTTCAGACGACAGACAAGGACAAAACCGTGAAAACTAAGGAAAGTGGGACAGATGTTATGGGTAACAGTTCAGTGCCAGTCGCTAACACTGGTGAAGTTAGTCCCCAAAATAATGTTGTTATTGAGCGTCCACGCTCTGTGATGGATACTAAGTTATAGCAATTACAGTAAAACCTAGGGAGGCTTTGGTTGAGTGACTCTCCCTAGAGAGGCTTTGGTTGAGCGACCCTCTCTTAAGAGGTTTTGGTTGAGTGACTCTCCCTAGAGGCTTTGGTTGAGCGACTCTTCCTAGAGATGCTTTGCCGCTTTGGTTAAGCAAACTAACTAGAGAGGCTTTGGTCGAGTGACCCTCTCTAGAGAGACTTCTGATGGTTGACCCAGGTACCTAAGGAGGCATTTTTGTGTGAATTATATATCTAGGCAGCCAGATTCCTAGGTAGGTTTGGTTTCCATAGACCAGATTCCTAGGTAGGTTTGGTTTCCATAGACCAGATTCCTAGGTAGGTTTGGTTTCCATAGACCAGATTCCTAGGGAGAGTTTGGTTGAAAAAACTAGATTACTATATGATATATATACGCACGTGGGATTGTTTGTTTTAACGACTGCAGTGATACCTAGAAAAGGTTTGTTTAAGCAACCTAGATACATAGGGAGGTTTTGGTAGAGTGGCCAATGCTGGGGAGATTTTGTTTTAGCAACTTAGATACCTAGGGAGTTTATTAGTGAGGGAAGTTTTGGTTGAATGACCTTCACTACGAAGGCTTTAGCCAAATGACCCAGATACCAAGAAAGTTATAGTGCTGAAGTACCTGGTGAGGGTTTGGTTGAGTGACCTGGAAACCTATGCAGAGTTTGAGAGAGTGACAATTTACCTAGAGAGATTGAAATCTAGGGAGGATGTGGTGGAGGGGCCAAGATAGCTAGACGTCAGATGTGAAACTTCAAGTGTTCAATTGATGGACCAGGAAATGTAGATCCAGTCTGGTTTAGCAGCTTAAGTCTGCCTCACGTTCAGGTTTAGTGTCTAGTTATTCTACATTTAGTTTGACTTAGCAACTAATCACCCATTCACCCCTGAAATTTCACACTGAATTATTCCAACCTTTGAATTGGAAGATTTCAAATTTGTCTTCAGGGGTGAATGAGTTAAATCTCGATATGGTCAGGTTTCTTCAGGGGTGAATGAGTTAAATCTAGACATGGTCAGGTTTCTTCAGGGGTGAATGAGTTAAATCTAGATATGGTCAGGTTTAGCAGTTAATTAATCTACCTCTAGGTGAATTGGTATAGTGACTTAATGAATTTAAGATCTAGTCTGATTTAACTTTTAGAAATTTTGGTTTGGTTGAAAGCCTTCTACCTAGATTTGGTTTGGATCAGTGACTGAACAACCTAGACTTCGTATTAAAACTGGATCTGGTTTTATTGCAGGAAGCAGTCTGTATCGAATGCTAACATTTTTCAATAAAATTCATCAATTTTAAATCTCTACATAATACAGATACATGCATTGTTTCTGATCAAATTATTCGATACAAAAAATATTTCCTTGATGATCAAATAAGGTGACTAGGTTATCAACAATGGGACACACTATACTTTATCATGCTGGACCTTTGACAAAGCTTGAACATATTTGTGTAATTTATTAAAAGTTCTTCTTTCTACATCACATCAAAATCTGTGTCGAAACAAAAGACGATTTTGTCATCAATTACCTTATTCAATTGTAAAGTAATTGGAGCTTCCTTCTATGGTCTCTAGGAGGGTCACCATGCCAGCTAATAAATGGCATTTTTGTGCAATAATGAGAATTGATTTGGACGGTTCTCAGTCAAAACTTATACTTTACTTAATATCATCACTGTGTGTCTCCAGTCATATATTGCATGTATGGATATTATCAATGCTATATTTTAATGGTATCAAAACCTGGGCAAGCAATTCTGAAAAACACTTGTAAGATTTGTAATGATAAAAGTGAAAGTAGGAAACAGTGTAACACAAAAACTAAATGCTACACATAGGAACCAGGAGCAAACAAAGGGACTTTGATCTGTCTCAGCATTAAAAGGTTTGGCTGTGTAAGAATACATTTTTCTTACTTAACTGCCACTCTGGAGGGTGGTTGACCTGTAAAAATTACATTTTTTTTCGGAGCAATATTACCTTTTTCTTACAACTTTCACTCTGCAGGGAGTTTAACCTCTAGAAATTGAAGGGGTTTTCGGAGTAATATTACCTTTATCTTAAAACTTTCACTCTGGAGTGAGTATGACCTCTAGAAATTGAAGGCGTTTTCGGAGTAATATTCCCTTTATCTTACAACTTTCACTCTGGAGTGGGTTTGACCTCTAGAAATTGAAGGCGTTTTCGGAGTAATATTCCCTTTATCTTACAACTTTCACTCTGGAGTGGGTTTGACCTCTAGAAATTGAAGGGGTTTTCGGAGTAATATTACCTTTATCTTACAACTTTCACTCTGGAGTGAGTTTGACCTCTAGAAATTGAAGGGGTTTTCGGAGTAATATTACCTTTATCTTACAACTTTCACCCTGGCGGGAATACATTGTATAACCTTTCAAGATTGAAGAGTTTATTTGTGTTAGATTACTTTTGTCTTACAACTATTACTTTGAGGTAGCTTGACATGTTAAAAATTAGGTTTTTCCTAGTAATATTTCCTTTTTCTTTAACTTTCACACTGAAGGGAGTTTGACCTGTTAAAATTAAAGGTTTTTCAGAGTAATTTTATTTTCCCTCCAACTTCCACACTGTGGGATGTTTGACATGTCAAAATTAAAGGGTTTTCTGTGTAAGAAAACCTTTTTATAACTATCACTCTTGTGGTAGTTAATTTGATCTGTTGAAATAAAAGTTTTTTTCACTGTAAGATTACTTTTTATTTACAACTTTCAATGGGAAGGGAGTTTGAAGTCTGAAAGGGTCTTTCGGGAATATTAATACCCTTTCCTCCAACTTTCACACTGAAGGGAGTTTGACCTGTCAAAATTTAAAGGTATTTTTGTGTAAGATGACCATTTCTTACAACTGACACTCTGGAGGTGTTTAGCCGGTTAGAATCAAAGTTTTTTCTGTGTACGATTACCTTTCTCTCACAAATAACACACCAGAGGGAGTTTGACCTGTCAAAATTAAATGAAAAGGTAAACTTTGTACATTTTTGAACACTTTATCAAGCTCATCATCCTTTTTTCACTTTAACACCAATAGTTGCTTTTTAAGCAGGATGTGTCGTTTTTGGAGTAATATGTACTTCTATGTACATTTATAGATGATGCAGATTTATGTGGTAATAAGCCTGTACCTGGTAATTAGCTCAGGCAGATTTATGTGGTAATAAGCCTGTACCTGGTAATTAGCTCAGGCAGATTTATTGTAGTTCAGTAAAAATGCTAACAAATGTTTTTCATTATCATGTAAGAAGCCCCCCCCCCCCCCCCCCCCCTCTCCTCCNTGTTGGCCCCTGGGCTTATTGCAGGATAAATATGGTAGTTAATCTTCTGCCTCTAAAGCATACTGATACATGTACCATAGGTCTTGATACACACAATGTCAAAAGTCTGGCACACAACAATGGTTTTGGGACTAGACAACAGTGGTATTGGTCAACACAACACATTGATAGTTGTGAAATACATCAATGTTTGGGCACACAACACAACAATGGCTGTGAAAATACATCAATGTTTGAGCACACAACACTACAATGGTTGTGAAATACATCAATGTTTGGGCACACAACACTACAATGATTGTGAAAATACATCAATGTTTGGGCACACAACACAACAATGGTTGTGAAAATACATCAATGTTTTGGGCACACAACACTACAATGGTTGTGAAATACATCAATGTTTGGGCACACAACACAACAATGGTTGTGAAAATACATCAATGTTTTGGGCACACAACACTACAATGATTGTGAAAATACATCAATGTTTGGGCACACAACACTACAGTGGTTGTGAAAATACATTAATGTTTTGGCACACAACACAACAATGGTTGTGAAATACATGAATAGTTTGGGCACATAACACAACAATGGTTCTAAAAAAACATAAATGATTTTACATATAATAGTAACACAACAATGGTATGAGAACAACACAACAAGGTATGGGAACAACACAACAATGGCATGAGGGCACAACACAACAGTGGTATGGGAACAACACACAATGGCATGAGGGCACAACATAACAATGGTATGGGAACAACACAACAATGGCATGAGAACAACACAACAATGGTATGGGAACAACACAACAACGGCATGAGGGCACACCACAACAAGGTATGGGAACAACACAACAATGGCATGAGGGCACAACACAACAGTGGTATGGGAACAACACACAATGGCATAAGGGCACAACATAACAATGGTATGGGAACAACACAACAATGGCATGAGAACAACACAACAATGGTATGGGAACAACACAACAACAGCATGTGGGCACAACACAACAATGGTATGGGCACAACACAACAACGACATGAGGGCACAACATAACAATGGTATGGGAACAACACAACAATGGCATGAGAACAACACAACAATGGTATGGGAACAACACAACAATGGCATGTGGGCACAACACAACAAGGTATGGGAACAACACAACAACGGCATGAGGACACAACACAACAAGGTATGGAAACAACACAACAATGGCTTGATGGCACAACACAACAATGGTATGGGCACAACACAACAACGGCATGAGGGCACAACATAACAATGGTATGGGAACAACACAACAATGGCATGAGGGCACAACACAGCAATGGTATGGGAACAACACAACAATGGCATGAGAGCACAACACAACAAGGTATGGGCACAACACAACAATGGTTTAGCCACAGAACTGCTGTGAAAATCTGGAGTAGTTATGATATACATACAAACGTTCCATGATCCACTCCATAAAGTGTTGGTAATGTTGTGGGGTTCTCGAAAGCCAATGTTTCAAAAGTACATTTTGCAATTTCCAGTGTCATTTTACATGTGTATAATTTCAATGATATTGATTTTTCACTATAATATACTGCATAACTATAAGTTAAATATTTTTTTCACTATGAACAAACGTAATGTATACATGAACAAACTTTTCAGGATAATAAGGCAATTAAAATGGTATTTCCCTGTATGTTATACATTCAGCTTATTTAGTGTCAAATATTGATTTTAGACACTGTAAATTATGAAAAGCTACCAAATATAGAGCATCTTCATTTTTTTAAAAAGAAATGTTGATTAGAGAACAGATCCCTAAAATTCTGTCACTATTATTATTGTTTTGCATTGTATACAATGCCTTGAATATCCATGTTGTCTGTTTGCCTGGTAAATGTCAACTTATTACCAGATCAGTATATTCATTGCAGGCTGACAGTACTTATCAGTATCTCCTAATATGGGCATAATGATTTTAAGATAGTAACTAGAACTTCTCAGTACTTTTCATCAGCTATGCTTACTCACAGTTATGTTTAAAACATATCATTTGTAAATTTGATTTTCTTTACATATCCTAGCTGGCCAAGACATTGACACCAAAGTGTATAACGTTAACCAGGCACTGTTGAAGCAACAACTGTAAAAAAACAAAATCAGAAATGTCTTGATCAACTAAGAATTGTTTTTGATCTGTATATTGTCAGTTTCACTCCATCACCTTACAGCAGGCTGTTGTAGTGTGCCTAATTGTTTATTAATGGTAGTACTCTGATGATCAGATCTGTATAGAAATTATATAGCCTCAATGTTAACTCTCACGGCGTTTGCGTTTCTCATGATTGGCAGCAAGTTTTGTTTACATTTTATGTTAATTAGTTTGCAATTATGTAAAATATGTTGTAAATTAGTTTGTAAAGTTATGTAATATTTTATGCACATTAGTGTGTTAAGATATATAATATTTTATGCACATTAATGTGTATAACTACATACATGTACATGTATTATGTTTTATGTAAATTAGTGTCTGGTATTATCTATCATGTTAAGAAGTGCTATTACAAGTACAAATGTACCTATAATTATGGTGTCTGTGTTTCAGTTTATAAATGTGTTGTAACTTGTTCCAGTAAA